ATGGAGACACTGAAGAGAGGTATATATTGAAGGAGTCTTTCAAAGTGCCCCTGGATTAAATCTCACTCTGAGCTGCTATTACATGTGAGTACTGCCCCAGAGATAGCCTCACTTATTTTGTTTTGCAAAAGGTCCCTGGGTACCCCTAAAATATCTATTGTTTGGCTGGAAAATTAGCTCATTACAGCAATGACATCATTAGGAAACTGTAATTGTCAAGGGGGTGTGGTGGAGAAGATTATTCCATTTGCCTGACAGTTTACCTTTCCTTATCTTGTCAATGAATATTTCGGAACAAAGTAGAGCTCTTTAAACTTATTATTCATTATTGTAGTTGTTATATAATAATTATGTAGGACTTACACTTTCATTAAGAAAGATAAAAACCTTTTTTTTCTTAAGTCAGCCCAAAGGTGCTATTTTACATATCAATACAGCTGAAAGGAAGTACTGTTATTTTGGGCTGCAGTGTTTCCTCCAAATCTGAAGCCCATTTTGAAATTGGATATCACATTTAAAACAAACAAGGAAAAATTATTTTAACTGTGTGCAATTTTTTGAGATTGAGCATTTGTACTTTTTTGGTTTTACCTAATTCTCTTGCATTAACAACTTACTGTTTTGTGAATAATGTGTACTGAGACAAATTAAGGAAAAGAAAATAATTATCTGTGAAAGAAAGACTTTGTATATTAAACAAGTGACCTAAATTTTTGTTGTGGTTTCTATACTCTTTGCCTGATTTACCAGGATTTTGGCAGGTTTGTATCTGCAACATTCAAAAATGCTTGAGCTCTTAAGATTTTATAACAGTCTGGGTGTTTAAGCAGGTTCTGAATATATTCATAATTACTTTAAAGCCAACACAGGCTGACTCACCCTAATATTATAGAAAGGAATAAAGAGGTGTGTTAGCAAGGGAAAACCAATGGAAATAATCTAAATAGACTTTCAAAACTTGTTAAAAAAAAAAAAAAACCTAGAAGAAAAATCACAATTGTAAAGAAAAGACTTTCTCATACATAAGGCTTGGATATACCAAAGAATTTAACCACATTTCGCTACTCGGAGATAATAAAATAGTAAATTTCGGTAATTTCATACATTCTAAATAATAGAAGAAAAGACTGTGGAATCGATTTCTAATCTATAATGTTTGCTGATAAGAGAAGAAAATCCCTCTCTCCAAAGCCCCAACTTCTAAAGCTGAATTCAGGGTAAACTGACTGCCTAGCCCAAGGCCACCTCCAGGTCTTTTTGGTAGACTAAGAGTATGAGTTCATTCTGCCTAATTGGATATCCAAACTTACAGTCTTCTCCCACCACGTGAATTATAACAAATACTCCTGGATCACAAATCATTGTTACTGTGTGTTCAGCTAATGATCCTAAAACTGGGAGCTAGGATAGAGATTCCAAAGGAAGCAAGAGAATGGGGAGAAATACTTTAACTTAGGGAAAGGGCAATGCAGGCAGAGGGAAAGATAACCACAGTCCCGACTGGTAAGCATCAAGCAAGATTCAGCTAGTAAACAAACAGCAAGCCCTTGTTAGAGTCAGAGTTTCTTACTTACAGCGAGAGCAGAAAGAAGAAAACCTCCCAGTAGCCCATGAGTCTTGTCCCAAGGAAAGACACAAAAAGAGGGAGGCATGAGAGATGAAAGAAGACATGATAATGCAACAGAACGGGGCGGGGTGGGGGGGGGGGGGGGTGCACCTTGTTGCTGAGATGCTAATTCCATGTTGTAGCTAAACAACTTTGTGGCCTGCAGCTACGCCCTAAAGGGACTCAAAATGGGAGTCTCATACTTCATCAAAATCCAGAGGCAAGGCCAACTGTCTCATGTCCTCTCTGGAAAGACAGGGAGGCATACATGAAATAGCCCATGGTAGTTCCTCCCATGCCCCAAATCCTTGAGTTCTAGGAAGTTCATGGGGCATCATTCCAAGACTCAGGTTAGCCTGAGCCAAGCCTGGCCTAAGTGGATATACACAAGGTCCTCAGGGTGCCAGCAGAGCTGTTCCACAATAGAAAAGAGCGTGGCCATTCTAGGAATGGACAGAAGGCCTGTATATCTGAAGTACAATAAGCCAAGGGCAAGTGGACACAAGCTGAGGTTGGAGAAGCAGTCAGGAATCAAGTCATTTCAGGCCTCTTTAGCCACGGTAGGTCATATGCATTTCACCCCAAATGTGATGAATGTCAATGTAGGTTCAGCAGTTGTAACTATGCCACTCTGGAAGGGGGTGTCGATAATGGGGGAAAGCTGTGCATGTGTGGGGACAGCAGATATAATCTCTTTACCTTCCCCAAATTCTTATGTGAACTTAAAACTGTTCTAAAAAAATTAAAGTGTTTAGAAACAAAATTATACCTACCAAATACACATACCATTAAAAAAATTGATGGAATGATACTTTAACAATATGAACATAGGAATGGCATATTATAGTGTACATTTTCCAAAATTCATCAGCAACTCCAGAGAATGGATTATGAGGACCAAGAATGGAGGCATGAAGGCCAGTGAGGAAGCGAATTCACAGGCAAGGCCTGGTGCCTCACTCGGGTAAGGGCAAAGAGTGGAGATGGCCTGACATGTACTGATTTGACTCTCTTTTTGAAAACTGAACCAGACCTAACTAATTAAATTTAATTGGGGAGAGTATGGAAGAGAGAAAGTGAAGAATCAAAGACGATTTACAAATAGTTTTGAGAAATTAAGTGAAAAACTTGGGAGAGATTCAAGGTTCCTGATGAGATAATAGGGATTGGGATCCACAACACAAATAGGAGTATTTGCCTCTGAAAGGAGAAAAGCTGCCATATCCATGAAAGGAAGGGAAAGGGAAAGGGAAAGGGAAAGGGAAAGGGAAAGGGAAAGGGAAAGGGAAAGGGAAAGGGAAAGGAAGGGAAGGGAAGGAAAGGAAAGTTAGAAAAAAATACTATACTGCTATTTTCAAATTTGTTCAGTTTTAGGCTTATCTTTAGGCTTACAATTCCNGGGAAGGTAGTTTCTATTTTCTCAGTGATGTATATAAAGTGAACAGTTGGTTGAGGAGGCAAATATTAAAGCTGAGCTAGAACAAATGAAAAAGTAGTCAAAATTATCTCAAAGTTGGAAAACGAACGTGTTACAGGTACAGAGTAAAACTGCTAAGCAGTATTGAGAATCCACTTGGATGTGCAAACATCAATGGAAAAACCTGTCTGACATTCTCCAGGAATGCTGAGCTGCTTGAGAACGACAGGTATAAAGGAGACAGATAACTCGGGAGTGCTCCTCAGTTTGAGTTTTGAAAGACGAATACTATGCAGTCAGGGGCAAAGGGATTGAGCATGTGACAGGAGGCAACTATAAAACCCAAATCTAAACAAAACACAAAATCTGAAAACAGGAGATAGGTGGTGCACAATGAAAGAATGAAGTCAAAGTACAGAACTTCGGCAGTGGAGGGGAAAGGAGATAGTAAATAGAGAATAGAACAGTCACAGTTTATGGGAGTTTCAGGTGCTGATAAGTCTCTTGGTGTGGTCACCGAGAAGCCTCTGAATGGAGTGGAGAAAAAAGTTACAATTTTAGATTTGTTAACCACAAGGGTCCTGGCATCACTGAAATGATTAAGACAGAAGAGAAGAAAATTGAGCCAAGAGCTAAAGTCTTCAATGAATGAGGAGAAGGTTCTTCTGGGAGGTAAGATAATAAGGAAAGGAAGACAGTGATAGGGCTTAAAAGGGAGAAGTGGAAGCGGCAATAGAGAAAAGAGGAAACCTGTCTAATCTCCTGCTCCTGAAACGCAGGCATAGAAGAGTAGAAAAAGCTTCTATTTGAGGTGACAGAGTCCTAAGGAGATATCTATGTCGGTGAGGAAAAGAAGTGACTAGGTTATCTGGAAAGACACCACTGTCAGAGTGAACAACGGCGTCTCTGAGCTTAGGCATGTACCATTAGCTCATATCCATGGAAGTTCCACTTACTGTTGACAAACTATGGCAAGCAGGCAAAGTCCAGCCTATTTTGTGTATGGCCACAAAACTAAGAATGATCTTTACATTTTTAAAGGGTAGTAAAACATGCACACACACACATACACACACAGAGATATGCAAAAAGAAACTGCATTTGGGCTGCAATACCTAAAACATTTACTATCTGGCTCTTTACAAGAAAAAGTTTACCTCGTTTACAAAGAACTGCCAGCAAAGTGAGTTACTTTTACTCTCTTCCACGACCATGGACTGTGGAAGCCATCTTACAAGATGGTCTACCAACCGAAAGGAAGGAGCCAAACAAAGGCAGCAAGTTATCCCTGCAGGGGGAAAAAAAAAAAAAAAAAAACATGGTCTATAGAAAATGATTAAGGATATCCTTTAAAAGCAATATTGTAACAACAAATTGTCTCTTAGGCTACTCTGGTCCAGCCAGCAGTAACATGACTATTACTGTCATGACACAATTATTACATATAATGATATATAATAAAATTAGGAATTATAATTATTATCCTAAATGACAAAGTAAATGCATCCATTCAACAAATACCTACCTATTTTAGTTCCAAGCAGGGTGCTTATTCTGTTTTTTGCTTTGATGGTACAGGGAAAACCAGAACAAATGGTTAAGGGGGAACACGATCTGCCATTTTCACAAGTTATTTAGTATGTATAGTCAGTATAGTATGACTTTCTAAATATCAGACCAGATATAACAGTTTTCCATCTCTTTACTGTAATTTAAGATTCACCTTGGCAGCTCTTTCTGCCCACAGGTCCTGTCCCCGTGCTTTAATAAAATCACCTTTTTACACCAAAAAAAAAAATTCAGTGTTTATAGCCATTTCGAAACAAAAATGAAGCAAAAAAAAAAAGGACATTTTCCACTGACTGAAGAGACAGGAACTTCCATAACCATAAAACCATAATTTTACAAAGATTACTAAAGAAAAGCAAATTAGCATCAGTCGAAACACTGAAGACGAATAATTGGAACTTTAAGAAGTGAAATTATGGAAATAAATTTTATTTTTAATTTTCAATAGTAAAAAAAAGCTGTAACATTTTAAATAAATTGTTAACAAGACTTAGTTGATATCTAGTTATAGCATCGTTTTACATTTATTTTCTTGAAAATACTCAAATACACTTCCATTGTATCCTTTAGAAAATAGCCTAAAAGATAACTGCATTTAACAAGTCCTATAAAGAACATTCTAATACATTCATGTTCTTCATGATACTTGAAAAACTGAGTTATATGTCATTTACTGTATCTCTTAGAAGAATAACACAATCGCAGTAACTGATTCTTTGATCTTGTTTCCACAGATAAAACCTATCATTTTTCATGAGAAAGCAGAAAATATTCAAACAGAAAGAGCTAACCTGCAACCGTTTATCAAAAGGTAACAAATTATGTGTGAGAGACTAACACCACGAAAATAGTCAACATTTTTTCTTTACCACTGAACTCTGGTGCAAAGATAATAAAAATAACGTACAATCCACCAGTGTGTATTTGTTCCATACCACATTTTCCCCTATCTTACAAGGAAAGAAAATAAGTTTAATTTAAGAGGAAGATTAGTGGAACACTATTACTGAAAGGCAATTCTGCAATCACCACTGCTCAAGAAGTATGCATGGGACCCTTCCAGAAAACATGTAGCTGTACATACCCCACAATATGACAGTAGGTGATCCAAGGTGAACATGAAAAGAATTAAAACTTTTTTTTTCCTTTTTCAGATCACTCCCTATGCTCGGGAAATTCAGGTTAAATGGATCTTAGACTGTGCTTTTATTTCATTATATCTCATTTAGCAATAAATGAAAAGCAACACTTACTTTTTAAGTGAAAATCATAACACTTTTTGAAACCGTAAATGGGATTTTCATCATGAAAAAAGATAAGCTACTTAGCAAATTCTTGTATCTAGACAGTTATTTACCATAATCAGTTCAAATATAACTTAACGTTCATATTATTTACTTTCAACTGAAATAAAGGACAATTAGGCCACTGCAGTCATTTCCTCATCTGAGTCACTGGAGTCATCTTTTAGCTCCAATTCCCCTAAATCTTTGTCTACGGTTATAATAGTTTTCTTCTTGTCTACGGTTATAATAGTTTTCTTCTTGCACTTCTTGGGAACTGCATCATTAGCACAAATTTTTCTCATTTTAATGGTTGGCAATTTCTTCAGATCAAAATCCCATTCCCTAAACAAAAGAGAGTACATACAGAGGATTGCTGGGGTGCGAGACGGGGAAACAATCAGTAGTTAAAACTCTAAAAGCAGCAGAACAAAGCTTATAAATTTATAGTATATCAAATGCACTAGAAACAAACAATATAGATGCATTAGGAAAAAAAAATGTCCCAAGAACTGAGGTCTGTAGCAGTAACTGCACACAGATTCCTACGTATCCAAAACTTTCAAAAAGCAATTCAGGAAAATATTAGACAGAAGTTACAAGGAGGCTCTGTTCCATTCTTTTATTCTCCCTAACCTGAGTCTTCAATCCAGCCATATGCTATCAAGAATCTAAAGAGAAGGAACTAAGACACCTGGGTGGCTCAGTCAGTTAAGAGTCCGACTTCATCTCAGGTCATGATCTCATGGCTCAGGAGTTCGAGCCCCACATGGGGCTCTGTGCTGACAGCTCAGAGCCTGGAGCCTGCTTCGCATTCTGCGTCTACCTCTCTCTCTGTCCCTCCCTCGCTCACATTCTGTCTCTCTCAAAAATTAAAATAAAAAATGAAAAAAATTAATAAATAAAAGTATGACCTAGATCATATCTGGCAAATCTCCAAAATGCAGTCAGAAAAGATTTTTCTTTTCACACATGGTGGTAAATCACAGTAAGTTTCAGAAACCAAAAAACATGTTATTGTTACACCAGAAAATTCAATCTTTCAACCACCAGTCTAGTTCTCGATGACTTAACCTTTTCTCTGGTATCACTTTCCAGTAACCATCTTTTCTGAAAGAACTCTGAGCCATCAAGTCTATGGCCGTTAGGCTATCTTTTAAAAAGTACAGATCGGGGAAGAAGAGTGAGCACAAGTTCTTTTAAGTATTATATTAAAGTATCTAAAAAAAATTTTTTTAATAAATAAAAGCACCATGTCACTATTACTTCAGTGTACGTCAAGCGTTTCAAAGAAACACAATTTAGGGAAAGCCTTTCTTTGTCTGATAAAACAGAAAAGGTAAAAGAAACCCTTGAGGTTTTTTTTAGTTCATTAGAGCTAAGTTCAAAGTTCTAGGTTCATAAGGGAAGAAAGTTTATTTCTCATGTATTTTACATGCTGTTTCAAGGAATAATAAAAAAGAGACACACTTACCTAAAAGTTTTCAGATTACCTGCATTTACAATGTCTGGAATCTCTAGGAAAGAAAACAATTTATATGCATTAAGCAGTGTTCTTTAAATTACAACACTTCACAGTTTCCTTGTTTATTATCTCAGATAGAAAAATGGGACAGACAGCAAAAACATCCAAGGCAAAACAAAATTTCAAAACACTGCTGTAATGCTATATGAAAAGTAAGTTTTCGAAGTATAAAGGGCTTAGTTTAAGAAGGTGATTTATTCACCAGCCACACTCCGTGACTCTGGAGGAAGGACTGTGGCACACTTGAAACAACACTGCATCTGAGGTTTGGGGCTGACTCAATCACCAATACATGTTTGACCTTGGCCACGTTCTGTTAACCCTCCAGCTATATGGTGAACAGACTTTAGAAGGAAAGAACAGTAACAAAGACATCAACTGGGAGGCTGTTACAATGGTACAGTTGAGACAATGGTAGCTTGAACTACGGAGGTGTTGACAGTAGCAGTAAAATTTACCAGATGCAAAATATATTTGCTGATGAGGTGGACAGAGCATGGAAGTGACTAAGGGCTTCCAACCTAAACAACTAGACAGGTGGTGATGTCACTGCCTGAAATACAGATTGGGTGGGAGGAGCAAGTTTTGGGAGAAAAGCTGGACTTTGCTTTGGGACGGGTCAGGTCTGAGATGCCTGTAAGACATTCAAGTAGAGGTTTCGAGAAACCCATCTTTGATAATGCAAGTCTGGAGTTCTAGGGACAAGTTAGGGTTGACAGATACAAATTTTGAAATTATGGGCTTGTAGATGGCACTTAAAACCACACACTGAATAAAATCAATTAGGAGTTGGTATAGACAGATAAAAAGAAGAGGCCCAAAAAAATAAGAGACCTTGGCCAATATTTAGTTTGTAAAGAGGAATATTCAACTTAGGACACTGAAAAGTCTCGGTCAGAGACCTAGAAAGACAACTAGGAAAGGGCTGGGTCTTCTTTACCAAATGAAAAGTGTGACAAGAAAATGAAATGATTGATTCTGTATCAAATGCTGTAGAAAAGCTGACTGAGTGAGAATCAGTGCCCAGTATAGCAACTACTTGCCTTAGCAACTTAGTCATCAGTGACCAGGACTGTTAGCTGAGTGGAGACAACAGCTCATGAAAGTGGTTCCACAGAAAATGGGACATGAGGAAATGGAGACTATAAGCGTAAACCCATTTTACAAACCGATGGTGACTACTCCATGAAAGGGACACTGAACTTGTTGAAGCTCTCCCTCAACAAGGTACTGTGTCAAGTGCTTTTATAAAAGAAACCTCATGTGACTTTCAAACAACCTGTGGACATAGGTACACTATTTACTGCAATGTTTAAATTGAAGAAAACGAAGAGGAGGATTTAAATAACTTGTCCTGTTTTACAGTAAGCTGCAAGGGTTTAAATCAGATCTATCTAGTTCTAAAGCTATTTTCTGTTATTTTTTCAGTTAAGAAACTCACTTCTTACAGATGATGAAGAAGAACTGCCAACTACTTCAGGGTTTCTAGTGTTACTATAGTGTAGGTGCCTGACATTAAGCTTCTGATTGTCTGGACATCCATATCAAACACGCTTCTCCAATGAAAACCTTGCCAGCTGCATGACACAGCTGCAGCAAAACAACTAGATGGGAAACCAGGCCGCCCCATCTGTGAAAGTTGGTTCCCTTTCAGAAAGACCTTACCTGGGAAACAACCACTCGAGTGATGCCGTTTTTCCCTTCTTGCATCCTACCTCCCACTGCTGTGTTTCTAATTCGCCAATAAACAGTGAACCTGTGAAACCCTTGGCACCTCACCTTAGACCCTAATAAAGGCAAAGCTCCAGGTCCACACTCCCTCTCTCTATATTCGACCTCCCTGCATGACCCTGGGTGTGCTGTGGACCCCCCAGGACCTGTAATAAATCTTGTTGTTTCCAAAGTTCCCTGATGGTTATTACTGAGGTGCATCATGCAATCCTAACAAGAACCACAAAACCTGGCCCCAACACAACACTGGCTCCGGCTGGGGAAATGCCGCTGGGGGCTCACCCCAAGTACCCCGTGCAGGTGGGTGCTTCAGGCATGTCTAGCAGACAGCATCAGTATCAACAGGCTGGGGCCGACACAACAGTTATCCACAAGCTATTTCCTTTAAGGTCCTATGCTTCAGTATTATTATTACCAAAATTTAAACCTTTAATTTGCTATTAAGTATTCTGTTCATACTACACATTTTAAGTAAATCCATGTACTATAAATGCCCTAACATGGACTAGGAATGGAATGTGAATGAAGGAATGTTGAGAACCATGGCAAACTTAGGAATATATGATCAAATCCAAAAGGGACACCTGTTACTCCACTATAGTGGATTTGTGTAGCCAGACCATTCGACTTCTTAAAAAGAAGCCAGAAATCTACATTTTTCATGTGCAATCACCAGATTTTTTCTACAATGACAATTAAGAAGCCAATCAAATACCATCTATAGGCCATGTTGCCTCTGCGTCATCAGCATCTGTGGGCTTTGCAAGCCTTAAAGTACCCTCATTAAGTGCTTTTCTTCCAAAAATGTTAGTAAACTAATAACATATAGAAATGCTACAAGCTAAGAATGAATATTCGATTTCTATAGTTTTTCAAGAATAAGTACAACCCATATAGGTTGGACCTGCAAGGATTAAGGGGACAGGAAGGGCACAGCACCTCCTCTAAAGAAACTCAGATGTAGTTGGAGATGGTCAAGTACTAATTCCACAAAAAAGCAAATAAGGTATGTGCCAGAGGGGAGAGGAAAGCTTTACTGTCACAGTAGAAAGATACGATGTCACTATAACAACTGACAGTTTTGAGAATGTAAGAAAAAAAATGAATTAAATTATTTGATATACTCAACGGAAGAAAGGAAATGAGAGGAAGAAATTCAAAAAATTAATTAAATTAAATTCAAAAAATTAACCAACTGAATTAAGAAAAATTAAGTATTTGAGGGGCGCCTGGGTGGCTCAGTCGGTTAAGCGTCTGACTTCAGCTCAGGTCATGAACTCACAGTCCATGCGTTCAAGCCTCGCATCGGGCTCTGTGCTGACAGCTCCGAGCCTGGCGCCTGCTTCAGATTCTGTGTCTCCCTCTCTCTCTGCCCCTACCCCACTCGTTCTCTGTCTCTGTCTCTCCAAATAAAATAAAGACATTAAAAAATTTTTTTAAAAATTAAGCATTTGAAATTAATTACAAATCTGATATGGCTATGTATTTTAGAAAGAAAAAAATCACACAAAACACACCAAGGCCGTATCCTTCATACTGCTGCCGCTCACGCTCCATTGTCTGCTTGATGACTGTCTCCCGGGAACAGTGCCGCCTTCCTTGCCTGTCTTTGATGCTGTTATGTAATTCAATCTGCTCTAGTTCACTGTTGAATCGATTTAAATACCTGAGAAATAAGAAAGCAATCTGAATTACAAGTCTGTACATTTGGCTGACATTACTTCATTTAAAATATAAACCCCAGCCTTCACCTGTCTTCAAAATTTTTGTATTCCTCTGAGTTCCTCGAGTCCTCAGCCTTCAGACCCTTCCTGAATAACTCAACCATTTCCAAAATTTCAGCAACCAAATCACCGCCTGTTATTCCAAGTATCTACTCAACTCCAGATCCTCATATTCAACCGCCTCCTGGACATCTCCATCTGGATGTCCCATGGAGGCTTAACACATCAAAAGTGCATTTATGTTCACCCTGGTCCCCCTCATTCCCCACCAGACCTGCTCCGTCTCTTTGGCTCTCTACCTCAGGAAATAGTACAGCCATCCACCCAGTTGGCCATGTGAACAATGCAGGTGTCCTCCTTAACGCCGCTCTCTCCCTTTTATGCCACATCGAACTTTTCACTAAAGAGTGAGACTTTCTACCTCTTTAATATCTCTGGAGTCTTCATTCCTCTTCACCATACTGCTACTAATGATGCAGAGACCACCATCATCTCTTGCCTGAATTGCTTCATCTGCCTCCCAACAGTGTCCTGGCCAAAACCATGCCCCTCGGTATCCATCCTCCCTCTCACTGCTGTGACATTCCTGAGGTTTAAATGTGACCATCTCAGGTGCCTGCTGTAGAAAGCTTCCTGTGGCTCCCAAAACTTCCTTTGATAAAGTTACAACGATACTTGAGGTCTTTAATTAGTTGTACTTGCCACAATGCCCTCTTTGAACCTGTTATTAAATGTCGGGCAGATCACTAAACATGTTGCTCTTACCTCTGCTACTGTTCTCTCTGCCTAAAGGCTCTTCAGCTAACTTACTGCAATCTGCTAACTCTCACTCTTCAGGTCTCAGTTTAGACAATATTTGCATTAGGAAACTTTTCCTGATCCCCAGGAACTGGGTTAACTAACACTCCCAGGCTCAGAAAGGTTACAAACTTACTAGAGTGGCTAAGCCAGTGTGAATCGTAAAGCCTTTTAGATAACAAAGTCCATTTACTCCTCTATAAATCCAGAATAGAACTTTGTGTCTTGAAGAAACAGGATGAACAAGTCCTCCTTTTCTGACATTTACTCATAACATGCCCAGTGTTTACCTTTCAATTAATTCACAAGCATCTTTCTTTGAATAGCCTGCTTTTTGAGGATCAAGGTGACTTTGAAACCACTGTAGCTTTTCACCTGTAACAACAGGTACCAAGATAGTTTAACACCATAAGTCATCACTTAAGTAATGAGTATTCATCAGAATTTTCAACATCAATGTGTTTAAAATAGTATCAAAACGTATTTCAATGTTAAATATAAAGGCTCATGTGGGCTCAAAGATAATTAAACCAGTTTGTCAGAAATCAAATTGTCACATTTTAATTTGGGGAAGAGACAGGGGTGGAAGAGATGCTTTTCTGTGTATTTCTTGTCCAGTAAGAATGCAAAATTCTTTTTAAAAAGAATAATAGAACACAAAGTTCTAAGTATTTCAAAGCAAAGGATAGACCTTCTCTAATGAAATGAAACTTGATTAGATTAATGGTGAAGATGGTCGCTGCTGAACATTAAATAAGCAGCAGGCTCTATGTCAAGAGCTTTACAATCCGTAGGAGGATCAGTACATTATTATCCCTATTCAGAGATGAGAATAAGTAACCTGTGAGGGCCTCAAAGTCAGTAAATATACCAACCATACAAGAGCTTCCAGACACTGTGCGAAGATTAACTAACATTATCAAAGAGCTAACAGACCTCATCCTTATGAGTAAATCTGATGAGCAGGGTCATATTCGGTTAGAGTTCTCAAAATTACAAATCAAGAAATGGCCCTACCCAGGTATGGATGACCTACTTAGAAATACTATTCTATTAACTGAGAAAGCATTGGAGAGAAGTGTTGAAATAAAGCCTAAAGGTCATTCTTTTTAAGTCAGGCAAATAAGTAAAAATTTACTAACAATAAATATGACCAAAAAAAAAAAAAAAAAGATTATGACACTGAGACATAAACTGAGGATGCATGTATCCATATCATTAAATATAAACCATTGTTTCCAAAATACTTAGGCCATAATCCTTCTTAATTCTAATCATTAGGGAGCTAGAATTAAACTTCAGAGACAGAAAAATAGATAGATATAGGTAGGTAAACATAAACTAAATCATTTCTGAAAACCTGAGTAGGTATTATTAACACTTTCTAAGAGCTCATGATTGATTTTACTTTGTTTGGTTTTAATTAAATCTGGTAAAGAAAGTTCACTTAGATAAAAATAATATTTCCCTAGAAGAATCAAAAGAAAACTAGGCATATAGCAGAATTTCACTATCCTCTAGCCAGATGTAAAATAAGTAAATCTACTTACCAAGAAGGTTAAGACGCAATGCCTTTTCATTCTTCAATCTTAGGAAAAAAAGGTGCATAATGTGTTAGAAAATTTTCAAAGCAAGTTTTAAGAACCTGTCAAAAACAAACAAAAAAAACTGCCCACAGAACCTTAATTCAAAGATCATTCTTTCATACATATGAAATTAATTTTGATAGTGCAGAAATAATGAACACCGTGCTTTTCTTGTAAATCGTTGGAACAAAATGTTACTAGAAACTTTTCTTTAGCTCTTCAATGACTAATGACCAAAGGACACCTATACAACAAATTAGCTTTGAAAACACAAAAAAAGGCTTGATTGGATTATGAATGTTCAGGTGGATAATACTTGTGCGCAAAAGAATAATGAATACTTTCTAGAAGATGGAATGCAGCCACTGTCACCTTTTAAACTTCAACAAGAATAAAACAGAACACTTACTTTTCATAATTTGAAAAGAATTATAATAACTCATCTATTCTCAGAAAACAGTATGGGTAATACATGATCCCATGATTGCTGGCATTCTAAATAATAACTGAGACCTTTCGAAGGCTAGTTTTTGCTACACTTTCTGCTACCCACTAGAGACGTAGCAATGACCAAAAAAACTACTGTCCCTGCCCTAACAAAACAGACCAGATTTATCCTCCCACTTTAAACAACGAGAAAACTGGGGAAATAAAATGAAGCCTTTTTAAAAAAACTTTAAAAAAAAAATTGGGTACAGGGGCACCTGGGTGACTCAGTGGGTTGAGCATCTAACTCTTGACTGCAGTTCAGGTCATGTTCTCACGGTATCTCAGTTTGAACCCCCATGCCAGATTCTGTGCTGACAACCCAGAGCCTCCTTGGGATTCTCTCTCTCCCGCACTCTCTGCTCCTCCCCGACTCATGTGCATGTGCACACCTACTCTCTCTGCCCCTCCCCCACTCACATATACTCTCTCACAAAAAACTAACAAAGGACTTGGATTCAGAATATACAAACACTTACTACTTAAAAAGACAACCCAATACCAAAAAGGGCAAACGATTTTTTACAGATTTTTAATCAAATCAAAGACATACAAATGACCAATAAGCACATAAAAAGATACTTAATATCAAGTCATCAAGATGTACAAAATTAAATCATACTGGGATACCATTATACAACTATCAGAATGGCTAAAACAGTTTGTAAGAACTGATAATACAACATGTGTGAAAGGATATGGAGAGAATGTAACTCTTACACACTGGTGGTGAAAATACAAAATACTATCACTTTGGACAAAGCAATTTCCTACATACTTAAACATGATACCTATCATATGACCACCAATTCTTATAACTTAATTTCATATAAACTTAACTTCTTACATACTTTTAACATACATTCACTGTGTGACTCAGAAATTCCAGTTATAGGAACTGAAAGAAAAATGAAAACAACATCTAAACAAACATTGTACGTGAATATTCATGGCAGATTTATAATATCAGAGGCTGGCAAATTTATTCTTAAATGACCAGAGAGTAACATGTTAGGCTCTGTGGGCCATGTGGTCAGTCTCTGTCACAACTACTTATTTCCACAATTGTAACCTGAAAGCAGCCACAAATAATACAAAAGGAATGGACACAGCTGTCTTCCCATAAAACTTTTTAATAAAAACGCATCGCTGGACCTTAGTTTGCAGAACCTGATAATAGCCCAGTACTATAAATAATCCAAACGAACACTAACAGGTGAATGAATAAACAAACTGCATTTTCATACAATGGAATACTACTCAGTAATAAAAAATAAGGACAATATGTGAAATTATATGAGTAAATTTCATAAATACTATGCTAAGAAGCTGGCACAAAAAATTACAATCATTTCATTTATAAGAAACAACAGAAATTAAAAAAAAATTGAAAAAAAAAAAAAAGGGGCGCCTGGGTGGCTTAGTCGGTTAAGCGACCGACTTTCGCTTAGGTCATGATCTTGCGGATCGTGGGTTCGAGCCCCGCATCGGGCTCTGTGCTGACTGCCAGCTCAGAGCCTGGAGCCTGTTTCAGAGTCTGTGTCTCCCTCTCTCTCTGACCCTCCCCTGTTCACGCTGTCTATTTCTCTCTCTCCTAGAAATAAATTAAAAAAAAAAAAAAATTAAAAAAAAAAAAAAAGAAACAACAGAAAAGACAAATCTCATCTATCAAAATAGAGAGCAAATCAGTGGTTCCCTGAGGCTATGGTACAGGGCAAGGATGGAGTGAGAAATGAACAAGGGAATCCTTAGGAAGAATGAAAATGCATATACATTAATCATAGTGGTTACACCAATGTACTGTCAAAACTCAAATCTGTACACTGAAGATATGGCTATTTTACTGAATGTTACTTATACGTTAAAGTTGATTTTAAAAAATAAAGAATACTTCAGGAGCACCTGGTTGACCAGTCAGTTAAGGGTCTGACTTTGGCTCAGCTCATGAGTTCAAACCTCTGTGCTGACAGCTTAGGGCCAGAAGCCCGCTTCGGATTCTGTGTCACCCTCTCTCTGCCCCTCCCCCACTCATACTCTGTCTCTGTCTCAAAAATAAGCAAATTGTAAATAAAAAAATAAAAATTAAAATAAAAAAAGAGTACTTCATAACAAGGAAGAGAAAAATTCATTCCTTTCAAATAAGCCTAGAGGAAAGAATCTAGTTAGAAGTCAGGTTGCAATAATTCTGAATGAACTCAATAGAGGCCTGAACTAGAGTGGTATCGGTTGGAATACAGAAAAGTAGAGAGATTTGAGATTAAACCTCAACAGTACTTTTTCCCTAGATTTTTACTTATTAGGCTTAGTTTCTTTGTTAATTTTTCATACCAAGTCATTTTATTCTGCTATCTAGAGTTCTTTGCTGCTTACTCTGCAGGACAAGATATGACAGTATATACCAACAAAATATTGCTAAGCTCAGAAATCATAAAATAAAGTTAAAATCATGACACAGAATAGCCATTTGCTGTCTGTTAATTGTGCATCACTTGCAATGCACTAGTCTTCAAACCATATTAGTTTCGTTTAATATGAACATAAGCAATATTCCATATAGTCTTAAATCAGAGCATTCAAATACAGAAGAGGAACATGTCCGAGCTCTTAGCTGTTGCTATTAACTCTTGTTATATCTTTAAGTAATCAGAGTCTATCAACACAAGTTAACTCGATCAACCCAGCTGGTTCTGGTTTTGTATCCTTCTATCACTAGTCAAAGCCAAACATAACAGATATCCTTCCTGATCTTCCCCTCACTTGTCTTTCTCTCTAAAAAGAAACCCGAGGAAGCAGTACAAAGAATCCTCAGTTCTCTGTACAAGTACAGAGACTGGAACTGTAAGCTGCCTATCTTTGTTCCCTAGAAAAACCAAATATCTTGGTAGGTAGTTAAGAAAAGGTGGCAGTATCTAAAATGGTCCCCACTGATTCTTGTGTCCTGAGATTAATGTCCTTCAATGTAGATGGCTTAGACCCAGTGACTTCTAACAAATCAAGAGCACAAGAGCAATGGATGTCATTCTGAAATTAAGTTTCAAAGACTGTCTTCCATCCTGGCCACCTTCTCTTGCTCTATCTCAGAACCTCTGCTCTGTCGGAACCAAGTTACCATGCTGTGAGTGGCCCATGGAGAGACATGTGTGGCAAGGAACTGATGCCTTCAGCCAACAGGCAACCATATATGACTTGAGATCTGTCAACAGCCACTGAGGTAAACCTGGAAGCAAAACCTCTCCCTATCAAGCTCTGGGACGAATGTAGCTCCAGTCAACATTTTGACTATAGCTTTGTGAGAGACTGAGCCAAAAGCAGTCAGTTAAGTGGCATTGGAATTCTTGACCAAGACTGTGTTTGTTTCAAGCTGCTAAAATGGCATAATTTGTTATGCAGCCACAGATAATTAAAGCAGGATTTGATAACTGCTATTCATTACTCAGAAGGCACAGGCACTTACAGTTCAAGTTAAGTTGTACTGGTACCTTTTCTATCATCCTGCATACAGATTTGTTCCAAGAGTCTGAGTATCTTTCACCAACCATCTCCCCAAAATATGCAGCTCAGCCTTTCTGTCTTGCTGGAAGTACTACTCTAGTGCAGGTAGATCGGCAGTATTTTAAGATAGTACTTGTGATCATGCCATTTAAATTAAATATGACTCATGGTCAATGACGCTGCTACTCAAAAAACTGATATCTATGACAGGTGTTAAGTCTGTTTCATAAAATACAGTAGACACTAATAAAACCGTACATTTGTTTGCTTCTGGGGCCATAATGGTTACAATGGTGATTTCTTTAAAACTTCTTTAAAATAAATGACAAAAATTTGTTTAGAACATTGTCCAAGTAGAAAAAATTACATAATACCTTTCAACTCTGTACTATAAAAATGGAGCCTTCACCAATAATGGACCCTCCTTTGATAGAATGAGTTATATAGCAATTAGCATGTTGTTCAGTTTTATCCTTCCATATTTCTTTTATAATGTTGATTCTGTAAATCAACGCATAAAATCTTGAATACAAATGAAAACACACAAAGATTCTAGGCTCACTGGCACAAGTACATACAGTGAACTAAAGAGCTTAGCCAAATTCTAAATCCGTTATTTCCTAAAATATTGCATGTATACCACTGGTACTACATAAGCTGGTTTTTAAGATTCTTATGGACACAGAATTAAATCATCTTTAAGCAAGTTACATTTTTTTCCTCATTTTTCTTTTCATCCTCTCTAATGACATTACAAAGAAAAAAAAAAAAAGGAAAAAGAAAAGTTTAACGTTAGTTCATTTTACAAGTCTTGCAACCTTTGCCAAATCTTTTCACCAAGGATAAAGCAAGCATGCCTCAGGCTCAGACCATACAGGGAAGGCAACAGGATCTACTTGGTTTTAATACAGATCAAATGTGTCCTTGAATAAAAAATTTTAAAAAAAAAGTTAAAAAAGCTATGTAAGGAAAAAGGTTCCAAAAGAATATTAAGTTAGTAATGCTACAGGTCAGTGGTTCTCATAGTGTGGTCCCTGAACTAGCAGTAACAGCATCAACATGACCCGGAAACTTGCTAGAAATGTAAAATCCTGGCAATATCCCAGACCTTCTGACATAAAATTCCAGGCATGGGAACAAACTGTGTTAATATGCCCTACGTGTATTATACGTATACACCTGTGTTAATATGCCCTACAAGTATCTCATGTTCACCTAGGTTTGTAAAATACTAGTATTGATGGTAACAGAACTGCAAAATCACAGAAGTGGTAATTATGTCAAAAGTCAGCAAAATTCATGTAAGTGATATATAAATACTTAAAGTTTGAAAAGTACTGTTTTAAAGCAATACTGCTATCATCATAATAACCTTTACAGGAAAAAAAAAATTGATGATACTATCACAGCACTTGTCTATTCTCTTCCAGAAAACATCTAGCCAAATCACTGTCAAACAGTTAACCCTTACTAAATATGCCTTAAAGTCTTGGGTAAGGAATTAATATATAACAATGAACATGCCGACTTCTATCAGCTAGAATGGAAAGGTATCTACCATTTATTAAAATGGTAAGGCTAGGGGCACCTGGGTGGCTCAGTCAGTTAAGGGTCCGACTTCGGCTCAGGTCATGATCTCACAGTTTGTGGGATCGAGCCCTGCATCGGGCTCTGTGCTAACAGCTCGGAGCCTGGAGCCTGCTTCAGATTCTGTGTCTCCCTCTCTCTCTGCCTCTCCTCTGCTCATGTTCTCTCTCTATATATCAAAAATAAATAATAAAAACCAAAAAAAAATGTTTTTAATAAAAAAAATTAAAAACTTAAATGGTAAGGCTATTTTAAAATAGCCAAAATGAGGACTTCCGTCTTTCTAACTTCATTTTAAAGAATTTCTTATTTGTTTCTACAACAATTCCTGGGAACTCTCACAGGCCAAAGACGGAGGGGAGGGGCAAACTGGCAAATTATAAAGTGTAGGCTGCTGATGAGAGAAAGGGGACTAAGGGAAAGGAAACAGAAAAGAAGGGGCATTACATACACATTCTATATTCCTAAGAAGAAAACTTTCCTGGAATTCTTCACATCAAGAATATAAACCAACTTCGAGAATGGCATAAGGACCTATGAAAATCTACTTTTCCGTAAAAGCAGAGAGAATACTAAGAAAACTTGTCAAAATCAACTTTTTCAGAAGTATGAGAACTAAACAAAGGCTTACAAGAATCCGAGGAGCATTCTCAAGAAAGAGAGACCAATCTAAGTAAGAAAGAACAACAAATCTGTTGTTCTTACCTTCAATGCATAAAACATAACATTTATTTATTAAAGAATAAGGGAATGTTGATGAAAGATAAATGTATAAATGAGATTTACACCAATGCATAATATAAATGAGCAAAAGATACTTACTTTTCCTTTTTTTCTTGTTTGTGGGTCTCTCTTGTAATTTGAGCTGCTTTTCTACTATATGGATGGATGACCTTTTTTTCTCGTCCTATGGTTTTTCCCTTTGGGGCTTTAGGCTACAATACAGGAAAACATATTACACACAGTCAGATATATAAGTGATTTGTCAAAAATTTTTCTTTTTTAAGAGTAACATAACAGAGGTATTGTAAGCCAGAAACACTATTTAAAAAGGTGCAGAAACGGTCAATACACCCAGCTCTTCGACTGTTCCAGCTTCAAAGTATGTAAGAGAATGCAGTGAGGAAAAACAGTTAAAAATATGTGTTACAGTTAAGAAAGTTAAGGAAGTAGAAGGAATACAAGATGTTCATGAGAAGCTGACTTTAGAAGTTGCTCATAAAACAAAGTGGGCACTGAATCAAGCAAAATCAAAATTGAGATCACAAAAAAATAGGAAGAGAGGAAATAATAGAAGCCATCTCAAAATCAGCACATCCAAAAAAGAACAAATTAGTTTCCCATACAAACTTTATGCCAGTTAACTAGGTCACAATTCATTAAGTCCACTGAACTAGACATGTCAGTAATTCTTTATTCCTACATAATTCTCTATCTTATCACACCTGTTATCATTTTGGAGTTGGGTTTGGCTTCCTACAACAGAAGCCTAAAATAATAATGGTGTAACCCAACAAAGTTTGGTTCTATCATGTAAAAAGTAGGAGCTGGAGACTCTGCTCCACAAAGTCCTCAGAGATCCCGGCTCCTTCCATCTTGTTATCTACTATCCTTAGGCCCCTGTATATCCATATAGTTCAAGATGACTTAATACCAAGTCTGAACTCCAGCCAGTGAAAAGTAGAAAAGAAAATCAAAAGACACACCCCTTTCCTTTAAGAGCAAGATCTCGGAAGTTGCAGTCTTCTGTTTACATCCCATTGAACAAAATGTAATTGGTGGGCAGTAAATATAGTCGTTATTCTCAGAAAGGAAAAAAAAAAAAACATGATTACAAAGCAAAAGAGCCTATCTGGGGACAGTTGATAGTCTCTACTATACCTAATCCTGGAAAAGGTCAAGTGTTCCTAGAATCTTCTCTTCAAAACTATGGGCATTGCCTTAATTCAGCCTCATGATCTTTCATGATCAGGGTGGCCTTTAGAGTCTCACTGCTAGTTCTTTTTTCATGGAAGTCATACACCTTATTTTTCTATAACATTAATCTACTAAAGTCCCTTCCCCCTAACAAGCTCACAGTTAGGTCCCAAGTCCTTAAGGTGGAAACCAATCTACCCCCACCTTACTTTTCCAGCATTATTTCTCATTCTTCAAAACACCCCTCATCCCATTCTTACTGAACTTCTCCCCCATTCCCAGAATACACCTTGTTGTTTCGTAACTTCTGGAAGCTGCACTTGTTACCTCTGCCTGCAAAATCCTTTTCCTTTGGTGTTCTTTCATAAATTACAACTCAAAGTTTTTACTTGTAAAACTTTTTGCAGATTTAATTAAAATGACCACCAATTCCTCATTCACACATGTATTTATTCCTTCAACAAATATTCAATGAACTACACAACAAATATTTACTGCTCACTTCTTGATAAACCTGACCAGAGAAGACAGCTCCAACTCTGAAACCCAGAATGGCACTGGAAGGTCAGTAGAATAAGGTGAAACTAGAGTAAACCGGTACAGACATGCTTTATTTATTGTGCTTCATAGATATTGTGAGGGTTTTGTCTGGTTTGTTTACAAACTGAAGATTTGTGGCAACCTTACATTGATCAAGCAAGTCTACTGACATTTTTTAATCAGCATTTGCTCACCTCATGTCTCTATGTCACATTTCAGTAATTCTTGCAATATTTAAACTTTATCATTATATTTGTTATGGTGATGTGATCAGTAATCTTTAACATTACTCTTGTAATTGTTTTGAGGCACCAAGCATATGCCTATATCAAACAGCAAACTTAAGTTGTGTGTGTCCTGACTGTTCTCAGTCACCAAACATTCCCCCATCCTTCTTCTTTTCAGGTCTATTTCCTGAGCCATAATATAGAAATTAGGCCAATTACTAACCCCACAATGGCCTCTAAGTGTTCATGTGAAAAGAAAAGTCATACATCTCCCACTTTAAGTCAAAGGCTAGAAACAATTAAGTTTGGTGAGGAAGGTATGTCCAAAGCTGAGACAGGCCAAAAAGCTAGGCCTCTTGTGCCAGTTAGCCAAGTTGTGAATGCAAAGGAAAAGTTCTTGAAGGAAATTAAAAGTGCTACTCCGGTGAAAACACAAACAATAAAGCAAAACAGCCTTAATGCTGAGAAAAAGAAAGTTTTGAGTGGTCTGGATAGATCAAACCAGCCACAACATTCACCTGAGCCAAAGCCAAATCCAGAAAAAGGCCCACCTCTCTTTAATTCTGTGAAGGCCCAAAGAGGTGAGGAAGCTGGGGAAGAAAAGTTTGCAGGTGGTAAAGGCTGGTTCATGAGGTTTAAGGAGAGAAGCTATCTCTATAACATAAAACTGTGAAGTAAAGCAGCAAGTGATGTAGAAGCTGCAGCAAGTTATCCAAAAGATCTAGGTAAGAGAATTAATGAAGGTGGCTACAAAATGTGTGTACATTTTTCATGTACACAAAGCAGCCCTCTACTAGAAGATGCCATCTAGGACTTTCACAGCTAGAACGGAGAAGTCAATGCCTGGCCTCAAAGCTTCAAAAGACAGACCGCCTCTCTTGCTAGGGGCTAATGCAGCTGGTAAAACTTTAAGCTGAAGCCAATGTTCAGTTACCATTCCCAAAATCCTAGAGCCTTAAGAATTGTGGGCCCTTTACTCTGCCTATGCTGTACAAATGGAACCACAAAGTCTGGTTGATAGCACATCTGTTTATAACATGGTATACTGAGTATTTTAAGCCCAATGTTGAGACCTACTTCTAAGGAAAAAAGATTCATTTAAAAATGACTACTTATTGACAATGCACCTGGTTGCCCAAGAGCTCTGATGGAGGCAATGAGATTATGGTTTTCATGCCTGCTAACACAGCATCCATTCTACAGGTCATGAATCATGGTGTGATTTTGACATTCAAGTCTATTTATTTAAGAAATACATTTTACAAGACTATAGCTGGCAGAGTGAGTCCTCTGATGCATCTGGGCAAAATAAATTCTTGAAAGCCTTCAGAAAAGGATTCACCATTCTAGATGCCATGAAGAGCATTCATGATTCATGGGAAGAGGTCAAAATATAATATAAATAGGACTTCCGAAGAAGTAGGTTCCAACTCTCTTGAATGATTTCAAGGGGTTCAAGACTTCAATGGAAGTAAGTGCAGATGTGGTAGAAACAGCAAGAGAATAGAATTAGAAGCAGAGCCTCAAGATATGAGCAAATTGCTGCAATCCCATAATAACACTTGAACAGTAAGGAGCTGCTTCTTATAGATGAACAAAGAGAGATGGAATCTCCTTTTGATAAAGACACTATGAAGACTGTTGGAATGGCAGCAAGGGATTCAGAATACTACACAGTGGGAGGGTATGAGATGATTGATTCCAATTCTCAAAAAAGTTCTACTGTGGGTAAAATGCTATCAAACAGCATTGCACGCTACAGAGAAAATGTTCATGAGAGAAGAGTCAATTGATGTGGCAAACTTCATTATTGTCTTAGTTTAAGAAACTGGCACAGCCACGCCACCATTCAACAACTTCTAAACCTGATCAGTCAGGGGTGTGACTGAAGCAAAAACTCCACCAGCAGAAAGATAACAATTTGGTGAAAGGTCAGATGATGGTTAGCATTTTTTAGCAATAAAGTATTTTTTAATTAAGATATTTACACTTTTTTAGACACGTGCTATTGCACACTTAATAGACTACAATACAATGTAAATAATACAACTTTTCTATGTACTGGCAAACTAAAAAAAAAATCATTTGACTCACTGTATTGTGATATCCGCTTTACTGGAGCAGTCTGTAACTGAACCCACAGTTATCTCTAAGGTATGCCTCTATGTGCATTCTTTTGTTTTACTCTGCATATGTGGGGTGGGGGTACAAGAAAGGTGTCGTAAGGATTTTTTTGTACATGAGCTTTACCTAGCACACATGAATCAATAAAAACATGTCAGAACCCATGGTAGGTTGCCTCTGAGGTGTCTCCCAATGAATTATACCTCCTAAGATTTATGCCCAGGTGTAATCTCCCCCCACTCCTACCCCCCACCAAGTGTGGACCTAGTGACTCAATTTTAATGAGTAACATTTGGCAAATGGATGATCTATCAATCGTGAGATTCGGTTTTATAAGGACTCTGGCTTCCATCTGGCCTACTCTCTCTCTGTTCTCTCACTAGCCTCGCTCTGAGGGAAACCAACTGTCACGTCAAGATTCTCTCTGAGGCTGCTAAAACTTAACAACCAAAGTTACAGAGCTGTATGTAACACTATTTCAGCAATATGTCCAATTCTATTTAAAAAATTCCTTTAAAGATTTAATAAAAACTTTCTTTAGAACAAGAAATGGTTTAATATCCTTGGAGTATGAAAATGTCCTCAGAGCTTTAGAGTATCAGTTGAAGAACCTCCAAGACTTAGTACAAAGAAGATACAAAGAAACTGAACTTCTATTCTGATTCACCTGTAGTTTGCTATTCCTTCTATTATTCATGAAAAGGTTGCCTCAAGGCACGATATGAATGTATAATAAGGCATAGAAATATGTACAATATAGCTTGCTAAATTTTAAAACATTTTTGTATTTTTCAACATATTAAAATAAAAAAGAAGTATTCAACAGGGAAAAGCTGAAGTAAAACCCTATCAACAAAATGTTAAACAGTCTATTCAAGCTAAATATCTTAAGTTAAAAAGCAATTAATCTCTAACAGTTGGAGGTTCTCCAAACTTATTTGTGGGGCATCTGATGATTCATAGTATAGTAGACAATGTAAATATATACCAAAACTGGGGGTGGGAAAGAGTTTAAGGTGCATTTGCTACAGAAGATTAATAGTTACGTTTTAACTTTGAGAGATATAACAAAAATAGTGTCTCTTTTCATAAGCATAACTAAGGCACGGTTTTAAATAACTATGCTT